TAGCTCTGCTTTTAGGTCATTTGAAATTAGCACTAAATGTTGTCTAATGGTTAAAGAACAGGTTATTGATGAGCATTTCCACTGCCTTTCATAAAAAACAGCTTTACTGAGGTATATAATTAATACACAATAAACTGCATGATTTAAATCCACGAGCTAATTTAAAATGTACAATTTGATAAGTTTTGACATCTGTGTGTACCCCTGAATAGATCACCACAATCAACAAGATGAACTTGTTCACTCCCAAAAGTTTTCTTGGCCCCTTTGTAATCCTTCCCTCTTATTCCTCACAGGTGCCCTGTTCCTAGGCAAATACTGACCTGTTTTCTGTCACTGTATCATAGTTTACATTTCTTAGAATTTTTTATAAATTCATACAGCAAGTACTATATTTGTCTGTTTTTTTCCACCCAAATTAATGATTAAGGATTTTCAGACTGATCTGTGTTGTTGTATCTGTCAGCAGTTCGTTCCTTTTTGTTGCTGTGTAGTATTCTACTATAAGGATATATTAAAATGTTTTATTCAACCGCCTGCTCTTGTATATTTGGGTTGTTACCCTGATTTTAGCTACCATAAATAAAGCTGCTGTGAACATTGTGAAGGAGTCTTTGTATGAACATATGCTTTCATTTCTCTTGGATTTTAATATCCATGAATGGAATGACCAGGTCATATAGTTGGTGAAAGTTTTAACTTTTTAAAGAAACTGCCAAAAAGTGTTCCAAAGTGACTGTACCAGTTTGCATTCTCACTAGCAAAGATGAGATTTCTAGTTACTCCACAACTTTGCCAAGACTTGGTACAGTCTCAGACATTCTATTAAGTGTTATGGTATTCTCATTGTGACTTAATTTGCATTTCCCTAATGACTAAAGATGCTGAGCACATTTTTCATGTGCTTATTTGCTATCCATATATGTTCTCTGTTGAAGTATCTGTTTAAATTTTTTTGTCCATGCTTTTAAAAAATTGGGCTGTTTTCTTATTATTCAGTTTAGAGAGTTCTTTAAATATTCTGGATAAAGTCCTTTATCATATATGTTACTTGCAAATATTTCACCCAATCTATGGCTTACCTTTTCATTTGCTTAGAGTGGCTCTCAAAGAGCAGAAGTTATTGATTTTGATGAGAACAATTTTGCTGAAGAACACCATACTTTTGGTGTCATATATAAGAAATCTTGGCCTATCTTCCAAGGTTGCAATGAATTTTTTCCATGTTTTCTTCTAGGAGCCTTATGGTTTTAGAAGTTAAAGCTATGATCCATTTGAATTAATTTTTGTAGATGGTGTGAGGTATGGTTTGAAATTCATTTTTGGAGGTCTACAGATATCAAAATGTTCCAGTACCAATTATAAAAAAGACTGTCCTTTCTGAATGAAATTTACTTTGCATTCTGTCAGACATCAAAAGATCATCTATGCATAAATTAATCTCTTGACTCTCTATTATGTTCTATTGATCTATTTGTCTACCTTTATGCCAATAAGATACTGTCTAAACTACAATATCTTGAAGTCAGGTAGCTGAAGTCCCCCAATTTTGTTCTTCTTTATTAAAGTTGTTTTGGCTATACTATGTTATTTCCATATGAATTTTAGAATAAACTAATTAATCTCTACAAAAAACACTGGTGAGATTTTGATTGGGATTGCACTGAAAATACAAATCAATTTGCTGAAACTGACACTCTGACAATATTGAATCTTCTGATATATGAGCACAATATATCTCTTCATTTATGTCTTCTTTACTTTCTCTCAGCATGTATAATAGTTTTTAATGTATAATCCTTTATCAGATTTATCCCTAAGTATTTCCTATTTTTTGATACTTTTGTAAATGGTATCTTTAAAAGTTCAATGTTTATTTGTTGCTAGGATACAGAAATATGATTCACTTTTGTTTACTGATCTTGTATCTTACAACTTTGCTAACATCATGTATTAGCTATAGTATCTTTTTTTTTTTGGCCCTGCCACATGGCATGCAGCATCTTAGTTCCCCAAGCAGGGATTGAACCCACACTCCCTGCAGTGGAAGCGTGGAGTCTTAACCATTGGACCGCCAGGAAGTCCCTATAGTATTTTTTTTATGTAGTCCACAGGATTTTCTACATATACAATCATGTTACCAGTGAATTTAGAGTTTTATTTCTTCTTTTCCAAAATGTATGCCTTTTATTTCTTTTTCTTGCCTTGTGTTGGCTAGAATCTTCAGTATGGTGTTCAGTAGAAGTAGTGAGAACAGATATCCTTGTTTTATTCCTTATCTTTTATCATTAAGCATGATGTTAGTGATAGTTTTTCTGTAAATATCTTTTATGAGATTGAGGAAATTCCTCATTTCTTTCAAGTTTTTATGGGAAATGCATGTTATGTCAAATGCTTTCTTCTGAGATAAGATTTTTTTCTCTTTTAAAAAGTTTCTTAAAATGGTGAATTACAGTGACTGATTTTTGGATTAAATCAACCTTGCATTCCTTGGATAAACCATTTGGTCATGATGTATTAGCATTTTTACATATTATTGGATTTGATATAGTAAAATATAGAATTATATAGAATTTCTGCATCCAATTCACAAGGAAAATGACCCTGTATTTTCTTTGTTTGCAATGTTTTTTATCTGACTTTGATATCAGAATTATTCTGGTCTCATAGAATGAGTTTGGAAGTATTCCCTTCTCTTCAGTTTCTGGAAGAGTTTGTGGAGAAGCGGTATTACTTCTTCCTTAAATGCCTGGTAGATTTTACAAGTGAAGTTATCTAGACCTAGAGTTTTCTTTGTTGGAAGGTTTTTAAGTACAAATTCAATTTCTTTAATAAATACAAAGTTCCTCAAATCTATTTCTTCTTGAATGAGCTTTGGCAATTATCTTCTTTCAAGAAAAGTTGCTCATAACATTCCCATTTTATCCTTTTAATATGAGTAAAATTTAGGGACTTCCCTGGTGGTCCAGTGGTTAAGTCTCTGTGCTCCCAATGCAGGGATCCTGGGTTTGTTCCCTGGTTAGGGAACTAGATCCCGCATGCCGCAACTAAGAGCCCGCACGCGACAATGAAGGTTCCGCGTGCTGCAACTAAAGACCCAGCGCAGACAAATAAGTAAATAAATACTTTAAAAAAGAAAAGAAATCCAGTGGTATATATTTAAAAAATATATAATAAGTAAAATTTATAGTGATATAACCTTGCTCATTCCAGATTTTGATAATTTGCTTCTTCTCTCTTTTTCCTAATGAGTCAGGCTAGAGGTTTTCCAATTTCATTAACCTCAAAAACTCAGTTTTTTATTTTATTAGCTTTTCTCTATTGTTTTCTGTTGCCTATATCATTGATTTACACTCTCATTTTTAATATTTCCTTTCTTCTGCTTACTTTGGGCTTTGCTTAGTTTTCTTTTTCTAGTTTCTTAAAGTAGAAGCTGATTTTCATCCATTTGAAATCTTCCTTCTTTTATATTATAAACATTTTGGTGTCATAAACTTTCCTGTAGCTTTAGCTACATCCTGCAAATTTTGATGGTTTTGTTTTCATCTTCATTCAGCTCAAAATACTTCATAATTTCCCTTTTGATTTCTTCTTTAACTTATGTGTTATTTGGAAATATTTAAAATCCTCTTAAATACTGACTTGCTTTATCACCTACATCTATTTAATAGATACAATATGATCTATTTTGATAAGTGACCCATACGTATTTGAAAACATGTATTCAGCTATTGAAAGATGAAGTTTTATAAATTCTACTTATGTAAAGTTAGTTGACAGCATAGCACAAGTGTTCTATATCCTAAATGATTTTCTATTACCTTATTCTATCAATTATTGAGAGAGCCAGCTTGAAATCTCCAGTAATTTCTGCCTTTTAATTGTAAGGATAGATCATTTATATTTAAAGTGAGTATTGATATGGCTGGGTTTTAAATCTGCCATCTTGCTATTGTTTTCTGTGTGTGCCATCTATTCTTTGTTCCCTTTTTCTTCTTTTTCTGCCTTCTTTTTGGCCTCTCAATGTTTCTCATATATTCAACATATTTCTTATTCATTGTTTAGTTGATCATTAACCTAAATTTGTGATAAAACATGATTAACCTGAAATATAATCACAGTATAACATTATTTATATTAGGTAAATATTAGTTTAATGTCTTTTATATAGTTGAGTAAAACTACCATTTAATAAAGAATAACTATATATTTTATTAAATTTAGTTTTTGCCAAATACATTACAATAACTGAGGGAGTAACTGTACTGCTATCTTCCTTAGAGAACTTCTATTTTTGCTACTTTTATTTTTGCTAAATGATCCATGGGATAGTTTATGGACCAATGGGATATACCTGATTTAAAATGATAGCCTCCTGATTTCTATACAATACACTCCTTGGTATTTACTTTACTAAGGTACAAGATTCAAACTGACCTATTCGCACTAAGAAGTCAAAATATTCCAGAGTTACGAGATAACACTAAACAAAGCATCATTTCTTTTCCTATAAGATTTTATCAGTAAAATAATGAGGTTCTAAGATTGGCTCCTATTCAGAGACACAACTTATATTCTCTTATTCAAAATATTCTCTCTTAAATGCTGTTATCTATCATCTTAATTATTATAGTGTTACTGAAGAGGTTTTAGTTAAACTGAATTTATAAGTACACATTAATCTGTGCTACTAAGTAAATGTTTTAAAGTTAAAAAAAAAAAAGCACATTTTATAAATACATGGAAATATGAGTAGATTACATAGTTATAAGGGGAGTTGTAAAAAGCTCCCTGGAAAGAATGAGAAGTCTTTATGTAGAAAGAGGAAATCTATAAGCCAACAGAATACTAGACTGGGAAGCCTTATGGAATTTTACAATATGTACAACTTTTCGAAAAACTAAAGAAACTAGATAAAAGAGAAAATAAGTATATTATAAATTAAAAAGGAAACAAATCGTCACTTATTAAAAAAAAAGAAAACCAAAAAGAAATTGTACCTGATCATCATTTTCATCTGAAAAGGTTATTGATGTCAGCTTGTAGTTATTCTTCAATAAAAATTCATTGACTAAGAAGTTTAGAGCTCTCTTTTCAAGAGGTTTGATTGGCTCCTAGAGATAAATAAAAGACAGATACAATACTGTAAGTCTTCTTCCTTCAATACTTGTGCTACCATTTCATATGGAAGATACTTTTAGATCTGTCATTCACCCACCTGAATTTCAGGACTTGATTTGTAATTTTTTCGTTCCTGTAAAGGAACTTCGTGTTCTGGTGGAAGAAAATATGAATAATATTTTACTATTTTACATTAGAAAATATCTCAGCTACTTCTACATTGTCAAAGTAGAAAATGTCTCAAAAAAGTTTATGTACACCACCTGCAGCCTTTGTCAGGTTGGCTCGGAGGGCCTGAATGGTCTCCTTGGCTTTCCGTAGTTCAAACTCCAGGACTGGACAGGGATTTGGAATAAACACACACAGGCATCCAACCAAGAAAAGGGAAACAAAAATAAAAAAATAAAAAGCAAGGATGGGTATGAAAAAAAAATACAATTTGTATTGAAAACAGAAAGCATGCAATCTTTATGAAACTTGTGAACGCATGCAGCAGAGTTGATTTGCAAGCAAACTGGTGAATGTTTTCCATAGTTTTAGAATACAGGGGACTACTGATCAAATGTTCCAGCTGTCTGACAAGGAATAGCTCTATTTAAAAGTAAAATCTATGGCATACTCTCCTTTAGGTAAATAAAAATCTTAGTAATTTAGGTGGTTGTGTTTCACTCAGTCTAGGTAAGAAATGTAATGGAATGTTTTCAGGTGACATAATTTTAGGGGAAAAGACAAAAATTAGATGAAGTCCTAGCAAATACACTTAAAGAAAATCTTAGGATTAAAAAAAATGTATTTTAAAATGCATTATCTAGAATAATGTTATAAATCAACATACAGAAACATTAGTGAATATAGTCCTTCATTAAGATGTTGAAAGAACAGGGTTTAAATATTTAACAAATGTGGGATGCCTATCAATTTTTCTACAAACAAGTATGTCTTCTATAAACAAGCACAGATATGTTAAACATATATCTAAAAAAAAGTTCTGAGGGGGTTATTTTAGGTTTCATTTAAAGCCAAAGGATAGAAATAGTTTGTCTTTTAATTTACAATTAAGATCATTCTAAAGCAAATGATTGAGTACAATTCTACAAGTGTGGTAATCTAAGGATACTGAGTAAATTTAAGTAGAATTTCAAAGTTTCTGACAACTCTTCAAATAGATATTTGTTCATAGTAAGAGGTACTAATGAAACTTAAAGATTTCTCCTATTACCACAGAGTCTGATTATAAGATAAACATGAATACTGAGGAGACATTTTAATGAGCTCTTTAAAATGTTTCATCATGAGCAAGATTTAACTATATGTGTCTTTGCTGGGAATTTTCTTTAAAATATATAAATACTGCTCTGAAGAAAAAGCAAGCTTAGATGTGGGGGAAAAAAGCCATTTGTGTGAAGTAAAGCTCTGAGAAAATTAAGTGATCTTTGTCACAATTGGATATTTAAAAAAATTATAATTTAAATAGTTCTGCATAAAAATTAGCAAATTTAACACTTTAAAGATGCATTTTTTCCTCATTGACTAATAAACAGAATAAAGAAGATGGCAAATGAAATGCTATCAGAGACAACAAGGCTATAAAAATATATGGAAAAAATAGAATTCACTCAGTTTGCATATTTTCATTAAAAACTTAAGATGTAACTGAATCACATCTGGTACATTAAAGCCAATTATTTTGATGCACAGAATTTCCCTGCAGCAACACGGAAGCACAACTAAAAATCAGATGACATGTATGTGACTATTTCTTTTTTGTTAGTCAGCAATGCTGATCTGCAAATATTTCTGTGCAACAAAGTTAAAACATTTCCTAAAACTCAACACTTCTGGAAACTCTTAGAGTTTGTGTTTAAAGTCAGACTGCACACATTCAATGTGTTAGGTAAGTACAGAATAGGTTTACTTTTCTTTTTATTTCAAAACTTTAGGTAATTTATTTTGATTTAAAAGCACTTAACTATACCACAAGCAAAATGAGTATACATATTATGCTTCCAGAATCACTTACAATTTACTAACATATTACAGAACAATTGCAGATCAGAAATGCCCTGCACCAGAATGAAAGAAATATGAAAAAAATAAATTTAAAAAAAACTGGTTAAAACACAAACTGTGAAAAAAACTCAGATTCAACTGGTGAAAGTTTAGGTGACCAAGAGCAAAACACTAAATGATCAAGGCACAGAAAGCCAGAAAAACCCATGTCAGACGGCAAGAATTGATATTTTTATGCACATCTACACATACATTGCCAAATGTCATTAAAAGGTACCAATGCTCTGGAAAGATAGTGCTTATCAAAATGAATTCACTCTGCTGCATGTTTCTTAATATACAATATAGACTTTAAAAGACAAAGGCATATCTTTGAAGCCATAGCACATCTCTGTAAAGGCACAGTATGATCAAGTATTTGCAGTTATGTGAGAAAGTTTCACAAGAAAGGTCTGAACAGCTATATTTACACATATATAAATTTGTCACTTCTTCATTAAAAAAATATTGGATTAAATCTCAAAATTTATTATCCTGTAAAGAGATACATTGTACCAAGCAACCTCCAAGTATTTTTCAAATATTATAATTCTTCATAAAAATGTTTGAAGAAGTACATGTTTTTAAAAAACACTGTAGGAAACAACTACCAGCCTGCTCACTCCACTATTCCAACCCTCCACTAGCCCAACCCTGCTGAATGCAATTTTATTGGAACTAAAGTAATCGCAGACATAGGTATATTCTAATACTGCATATTACAATCTTACCAAAATATTTAATGACTAAGTCAGTATAAGCAATTCTAGATTAGTTGAGATAGTTATTTCCTAAATAGGGTTGGATAATACTGGCATTATATCAGGGGTACTTGAGAGCGTCAAGATCAGGTGCTGGTGACTTGGGATATATACAATTGACCATGTCGAGACACCAAAGGTGCAGTGTTAAATTTCAAAGCAGAAAGAAATATTGATTCTTTGTTGCCCCAACTAAATATATTACTAATATTATCTTGAAATATTTGTTAGTCTTACTTCTTTTGGCACAAAACTCAAAATAATACATATTTTAGATCTTTCCTGTAATACTGATCAGAATATTATAGTGGTAATAAAATACCATTTCCCCATCCTTAATACTTATTTTATTATCCCAGGAAAGGTTCTAGGAAAAGAGGAAAATTCTCATAAGAATATGAATTAGAATAAAAATAGATTCCTAAAATAATACAAAAATCCCCAGGCAGTACCATCACCACTCCTTCTGGGTTTAGAGAATGCTCCCTGCCTATTACAGACCTAAGAAAGGTAGAGGACTGTTACGCATGACCTAGCAAATAGTGAGAAATAAATGAACGGAAGCAAGATGCAATCTCCGTGGTTTGTAGACATTTAGTTTTCTATATTCTTCTGAGGGGGAAAAAAATTCCTCCTCCTTAAACTTTAAAAGAAGAAAATTCTTCCCATTATTGTTCCTCCTGCTCAGGTTCTCTTACAGATTCCTCTATCATTCATCTCAAAGTTGGTGTTTCCCAGAGTGTCCTCCCTGGTCCTTTTCTTATTCTATATACTGGGATGATAAACATTTCACTCTTACAGTTTTACTCTCAACAGTACTCTTAAGATTCAGAAATCTTTAAACTTCTTCCCCAAGATAAACAGGGCTACCTGTTTATCAACTGGACATGCCCACTTGAATGTCTCATAAACTTTGAATTTGATCCTATCTAAATGAACTTCATCATCTTCCTCTCAAATCTGTCTTCCCTCCTCCTGCAGTATCTCTTCATTAAGGGCACCACTATCTACCAAGAGGCCCAAATAAGAAACCTGGAGATTACTCTTCACTTAGCTCTTGCCCTTACTCCCACATTAATTCAATGTCAAGCCATAATGATTCCAGCCCTTGAATCCTAAATAACCATTCATCTCAACTGTCTCTGCAATTGTCCTAGTTCAGACCTTTATGACTTATATAAATTTTAACAATTTACAACTCACATCAAAGGCTTGTTGCCCTTAAAAGGCTTGTTGGAGCATCTATCCTATTTTAAATCATACAAAACCATAAATAAGATTTAAGTAAAGTTGAAAATAAGAAAAACAAAAAGTACTGCAAACAGGAGGTAAAGATATTTGTACTAAGGAAAAATATATTATAATAAGACAGATAGGCTTATTTAATCCTGATAAAGCTGGATATGTATGCTGCAGCCCAACAGCTAAGGAATGAGAGGGCTACTGATGATGCTTCTTACCCAGGGGGTAAGGCCAGGTTAACCCACAGGCAAAAATTTGAATTTCATTTTAGAATGTTTACTAGATTACGTAGGCTTAAAAAGGCTTCATATGTCTACTTTGTTGTTTATTGTTCCCAGAACAGTATAATACCTTGAATATAGAGGACTCAGCAAATGTTAGTTGTATGAATGGGCATTCCAGTACTTGATGCCATATCTAATAAATCTAAACATCAGTGATCTTACCAGCATTCAGTAGTGTCTTTCCCTGCAAATTGGAAAGAACAGTTTCTGCAGTTCTCTAGATCCCAATACAAAAATTAAGGTATGAACTAGAGAAGTAATACAGTAACAGGTAGAGGTATGAGAACAAATAAAATCAGAGACTCTGATGCTAAAAGATGGATCAGGTGAACCTGAGACAGGGATACAGATGGTTCTAAAATCAACAAGTTCCTTATCACTAGTTCCAAAGTACTGAACATTTATTTGTATTACAGATATAGACAGGTTTTAGTACAAATTCCTTGATGGCAGAAACTCTTGTCTATTTCACGCGTCTGTATCTAGCGCCTAACATAATACCTAATATGTAGCAGATGCTCAAAATGTCTAATTAAAGAATGGCAATCCCAATATCTAGAACATAGATGTCCCTTGCTATCTTGAAGAAAACTTGAAAATTTAACAGCTACACTGTATGTACACTGTACAGCTTTGTTTAATAACATATAGAAAGGCTTTTACTAAAAAGTCAGTTAAATTAAGCTCATTTTGGTTTGGTGTCTACTAAATTCAGAAGTGGAAAATATTTGAAATGAAATGCTTTTGAAATTTTACTTTTTTGGAAAGAAAATGACTATGTTGAAACAGTCTTGTATGGGAAAGATAAGATTCTGCTATCCACATGAATGTACCGATGAGTCAAAGCTCCAGCCTGGTACTTAAAGATACATCGTGAGCCCTGGAATAAAAACCTATATGTTCACATCTTGATTTTGCCCTTTAGCTATATGGAGGCTACTGGGAAAATTTTTCAATCTTGGTAAGCTTTTCAGTTTTCTGATCTATAAAATAAGGATATCATGACCTATCTTGAAGGATTGTTAACAAGGTTAAATAAGTATTTTATATAAAGCAACCGGAACAGTGCCTGGCACAGAGCAGGTGCTCAATAAACATTTGCCCATTTAGAGATCTTTTCCTCTTTAAAGGAACACCTGTACAGACTTGAAAAAATAACCAGATATTTAAATTTAGGGAAAAGATGATAAGAATGATGCTGAACCCACATGTAGTAGTATATATATGTCTCATAAACAGCAACAGTTTATTAAAGGCTGGAGCAGACCCTACATTTGCATCGTGGGGCAGCGGACTCAATATCTGTATTATCTATAATCTCCTTCTGCCCAAGACTGGTATACGAAAATAAAAGAGATTTTTATTCTTTCTCAGTGAGGTTTATACGTGATCCAATGATAGATGGCAGGATAATTATCTTTTCTGGATTGTTCATTTTTCGATTAGTTTCTAAGTTACTAGCAATGGTTAGCAAAGAGCCAAAAATTTTTTTGTAAATGGGAATTGTGATTAATTGAAATTTTCATCCACGTATCACACATTTGGTTCAATAATAGGCGATGGCACAAGAGCATTAAAAGTCTAAATGCCATTCTCTTGGAATAACATACATTTCCTTCCCTTTTCCAGTGAAGATGGAAGACAGCATTCAGTTACTCATTTACACTGAAGTATAGTTGATTTACAATATTGTCTTGAGCTTCAGGGGTACAGCATAGTCATTCGATTTTTTTGTATATTATATTTCGTTACAGGTTATTACAAGGTATTAGGTATAATGCCCTGTGCTACAGAGGGCATTGTTTATCTATTGTTTGTGTAACTATTGTTGTTTATCTATTTTATGTAGAGTAGTTTGTATCTGTTAATCCCATACTCCTAATTTGTCCCATCCTCTCCTCCCTCTCCCCTTTGGGGAACCATAAGATTGTTTTCTAGTCTACAACTCTGTTTCTGTTTTACGTTGATATATAGATTCATTGGTATTATTTTTTAGACTCCACATATAAGTGACACCACATAGTATTTCTTTCTCAAGACAGCATATATTTATACATTAGCATTATATAGTAAGCAAAAATTACTTTATCTCCCCAAACTTAGAGATAAGAATATGATCTTTAGATTAAAAATATAAGGTCAAAACTACCAAATATTTAAAATATTCACTCTTAGTTATGCTTAGTTATAACATATTGCTTAATTATAACATCTTGCTTCTATATCATTGTTCCCCCTAATTAGAAATACTAAAATACCTAAATACTGAGAATAATGATGAACCTCTTAAATTTTACTAAGTCTAAAATTTAGGTTTTCAAACAAAAATTAAAGGGAAGAAAATAATTATGTGGTCTATTTCTGGGTAGAAGTTATTTTCTGATACATAACCATCTGAACAACAATACAATATACAAAACTAAATATATTTGGTTAGTCTCTAATAAACCAAAATACCATGCATTTAATACCTAACATATAACAGAAAACACAGAATAGCTAACATTTACTATATAATTAAATATAACAATGCCACTTAACAAATGATATAATTAGTAGGATAAGTCTGTCCTAAAATTATTCAAATAATTCCCATTTGATTTGCTAATTTTCAGACAGTACTGATGTGATTTCTTTTTTGATACAGCTTTCAATTAATAATGCTTATGACTAAATCATGACTTGATATATGGAGCTGCATTAAACTCTTCCAATGACTTCTCCATTCAATTGATAATGCTATTGTTCTCACTGCTGAATCCTCTCTTAGCCTCTGTTGAACTAAAAACAATTACATCATTTTTTTCCCCTAACTCAGGGAAGAGATTAGGGAAAGAGAGATTTTTTAAACATTCAATAGCTCTATTCTTGAGTTATAAATGAAAACCACATATTGGAATGTCATTTTAACCAGGTCAAACCTCATCCTTCATGCTAAGAGGTAGCATACAGTGCAGTCAGTTGTGGGCTCTGCTGCTGGGTTATCTGCGTTCAAGTCTTAGCTCTGCCACTAAAGTCTTAATAATCTCTGAGTGCCTCAGTTTCTTGGGGAGGGGAGGATGATGATAATTCTATAACTCAAAGAGTTAATATACATTTACAACAGTGTCCAGAATGGAGCAAGTGCTATATAAAAATTAGCACTCACTTTTATTCATAATGACTATGACAGGCAAACATTTGGTAGGTTTTAACAAACTTGTCCCAGTAAATGGAAGAAAAATATTTCCCTCACAGGCTCCCATCTGTCCCACGTGGCATCCTTCCTGTGCCAGGTGTGCCCACCATTCTGGTGGATTAAAATACCTAACTGATGTCTGTCTGCTTCCCATCTATCTCAGAGTCAACGTCCTATGAAAACTACAATTCCAATAAGACATTCAAAAATTACTTCAATAACAGACAGCCACAGCCTTGAAGCACCAGAAAAGTACCAGTCACTTGACACCTGAGGAGCCAGAGCTGCTACACTGGTAAATCCCAGGGTGGACCCCCAGAAGAATCCAACTGGCCTCATTTGATGTGGGCAGAACACAGAGGGTACAAATTGGTTTTCTGAAGTCCCTACAGATCCAGTGGTGATGCCTAAAAGGCAGAAATGGTGGGAGGATGGAGAGGGGAAGGAGATTGGAATGAGAAACCAAGCAACTAATAAGGATGTTGGCCTTCTTTTTGGAATGGGCAAGGTCCTGGAGGCCCCTGATGGACCAAGCATTAACCCTTTATTTTCTGGATCACAGGCAAGTCAAGAGAAGTTTCTGGAGAGATGCAGTGATGGCCAGGGAGCATCCAGGGAACCAAGCAAAATTTTATTCACCAACCAGCATAGAAGTATTTAAACCAATTTTAACAATCAGTAGAGCTGTATTGGTATATAACACATGAATATTACTCAGCCCTGGTTTGGAGGATAAAAGGAATGAGGAGGCCAATGACCAACTAACTTTGTACTAAACCATGGCTAACTTAAACCTCTTTTACACCAGTTGTATAACTACATGGTTGTAAACTACTGGCTACAAGCAGAATTCAGCAAACTGTAGGTGTGCATAACCAAAAATTCAGAGCACCACTGGAAAGAGCAGTTGGGGGCTGGGATGTTCCCTTCAGCCAATAAATTAGTAACATAACTTTGTATAATAACTATATCAATATATTCACATATCAAATTATAGAAAGAGGAGAATTCTTCAAGTCATTTTATTATTTCTGGAATGTCCAAAAATCCAAATCTGTCTTTACAATCTTACTCACCTGCCACTCTCTCATCCGTTTCCCTGTTACCATCATCTGAATATCTTGCAAAGTCTAAAGAATCAAGGGTACTGATGCTCCCAGCTCGATCTGTAATAAACCAAAAAAAAAATAGAATTAAACAGATTTTTATTTAACTGCCAAAATAAGGGATTGGAAATCAATTAGCTAAGATTTTTTTTTCCAGTGAATAAACTGTGACTCTAAGATATAGGAATTCTATTAAAACAATAAGGTAAAAATGCTCAAACCAATTAAGCTACTTTGAAGTAACTCATGTTTCCCTGCCCAGATCTCTAACTAACTCCTGAATAATGGACACACAGGATATAATGCAAGCCCAGCTAAGGACAACAAAACTGTAAACAGTTTGAATTTTATTCCAAGTACAATGGAAAACAACAAAAACACATACATTTTTGGAAAATCATTTTGGCTGCTGTAAGGAAAGTGATTTGTAGAGAGACCAGTTAAGAGGCTACTATGTAAATCAATTACACTTTAATATAAAATAACAATTAAAAAAAAAGAGGCTATTAGAGTCATGTAGGTGAGAGATGATCACATTTGGCCTAGAATAGAGGTAGTAGAAATGTGAGAAGTGTTCAGGGTTATTTTTTGATGTAGAACCAACATGTCCTGGTAGTGAAATGGATGTGGGTTTAAGTAAAAGAAAGTAAACAAGATAATTCCTAAAGACTTCATTTATTGAATTTGTAATATGGGATGCAAAAGGCAAATGAAGGGGTTTCAAGAGTTCTGTGTTTTAAGTGCATGGTGGTAGTGGGGAGTGTCCCTAGCTTTTGCCAGATTTTTAAGTGTCCCTAAACAGAAAAACACGATGTAAACATTCTCACTTAAAGGAAGAAATCAATGCTGATACTCACTAAAGGAGATCTAGTTAGCTAATGCAAAGAAGGGACAAATGAGAGGCTAGGTCAACTCATTCTATTAAATCATGCTACTTACATAGTGTCTACTGTTTATATATTGCTCTAAGGAATAGATTATCTGTGTTTAGAAAGCACAGTCTGGACAAATGAATGCAAGTTACAGAAATAAAGATTTGAACTCCACGTAGGGCTCCCTCACCTCCTTTTAAAACAATTAGTACATGCCAATAATTGAAATGGTTGACTCTTCAAATACAGCTATGTCATTATCAATGTACCACTTATCTTTAAATTCCTATTAAGTGAAATTCTATATATAGTACTCTTCTGAGAACACTGTTTCTATTCACAGAAGCATTTAATTCCCCTGCAATTTAATTATATCTGATAAATAACAACTTGCTATTAACTTAAGTTTTAAGACAGCATAAACAAATAACAGAAAATCAAGTATTACAGTACCATTCATTAGAGCATAATTTATTTTAAGCATAAACCAAGAAACACCAAATAACAATAGTAACCACAGAAATCTAGAAAGTTCATATTAAATATAGGCTGAACTCAGGAACATTACTCAGCAATTAAAAAAAAACTATTGAGATATATGCCACAACATGACTGAATCTCAATGCTTTATGCTGAATGATAGAAGCCTTACGCAGAGTATATAATGTATAATTTCATTTACATGAACTCTTAGAATAGGCAGTAGTAATTTATGGTAGAAAAAAATCATTATAGTGGTTCTTGGAGTGGGGGGCTGAAAGGGGTGGGGACTGACTGACCGGAAAGGAGCATGAGGGAACTTTCTGGGGTGACAGTAATGTTCTATATATTGACAGGAGTTTGGGTTATCATGAACTGTTAAGTATGATGTTGGTTGTTGATTCTGGATAAATATTTTTCTATTATGTTAAGTATCTATCTAATGTTAGTTTTCTAAGTGTTTTCTAGTATTTTCAATCACACATACAAGCCTAGGTTAGAGTATTTTCAATCACACATACAGGCCTAGGTTAGAGCCTATTTGATCACCATATATCATTCCTCCATTATACTGTTACTATTTCTCTAAAAGTTTCAAAGAAATCACCTATGCAATAGGAAGAGTTCTTGGGGAAAGCAAACACTGCTTAATTTTTGACTTGGTATTATTATGGCCATTGAAAAATATATTCTAATTATTTTTTTTAGTTCCAAGCCAACAATTTTATATTCTCCAAGAAAAAAAGTTCTAATGTCTTTTTAACTAACAATAACTATAGTATCATAAAAGAAATCTCCTAATTTATTAAAATTTATTCCATGTCAGAAAAAAATTATAGAAGGAAGTAATTTTCACTTTGATGGGGCTAACGTATAACAGATTTTGTACATAAAATGTACTTTGGAATTTAAGACTAATAGGTAATATTACAGCTCCTAGACAAATATGCACAATTCTTTTCCAGGGCAAGCACATGCCTTTCCAAATACTCTAATATAAAAGAGGAAGAGTTTGGAAAAATTAGCCTCTTTTATTAAGAAAGAAGCTACTACCACTTTCTAATATAAAGTATACCACAAAGCCTTTCTTCAAATTCCAAGATTGTGTAACTTCTTAGTAATTCACTTTACAACTCAGAAACCGAATGATCAGGGACTTTCATCATAGTTGGCAAACAAGTAAAACCTGTATGTAAGTTTTACTAGGTCTGAAAACTAAAACCATTATACACAGTGTGACTATAAGGCATGCAGACTGACTTTATAAATCACATATGAGAGTAGTCTTATTTATATATACATTTAATCTTTTAGTACTAATGACAGAAGGTAACTTTTACGATAGTTAAAAAAATGAGTTTCAGACCCTGGAAAAGGTATCTTTCATGGAAATTATATAGCACTTTAAAAGCTAAGTGTACCAGGAAAATTGATCAGCTCCTGACTGGTAAAGAGCATTGGTTAATTCAGTGAACATTTAGTGAACAACTATAATGTACCAGGTTACTGACAGGAAGCTACAATAAAATACTGAATAATAATTTTTAAAGGTTATAGATATAACTGACTCCAAGAAGTAGAGTTAAAATTTTTCAATACATACTCCTCTCTATACTGCTTGAATTTTTTTATTTGTGCTTTGGTATTTTTTCCCCAAACACAGTTAATACCTTTTATGATATGGGCATTTTATAATTAAAAAGTCACAAAAGTACCCAGTTCACAGTTAAAGAATAGGAAGAAAAATAATGTCAAGCAATTAGCTTTAAATTCCAATTTGTTTAGTAAAGATCGTTTACTGAACCATGCCTGTGTCATGATAAGTAACAAAGAAAGAAGTATATAGTATATAAATTTAATAAACAGAAATATAACAAATTTACCTTAAAAGTAATTATATCTAAATCTGAGGTCATGCATAAACACTTTAATATGTATCCACTTAAATTAAAAATGGATCTTAGGAATCTGTCAATGGCAAAACATTTATATTTTCTGATCCTCAGTTCTTCTCTAACACTGGGACTCACTTCACTGACCCCTATGTTCAAAATATTTGAGAGCTAGAGGGAATCTTAGAGATAGTCCAACCCTTCCATCAACCCCAGTTTGATGAGAAAACTGAACCGTGTATTCATTCAATGCATATTTACTAATCCATGGTAGGGAGTAGAAAGATAAAATTCAATAAGACTTGGTTCTTGCCTTAATAAGTTTATAAACCACTGTAGTTTCGTGCTGTAAACAGATAACGATAATAAAGTTAGACTACTTTATGTTAAAGGTTAAGCAAATTAATCTGTGAGCAAGCTAGGGGTACAATGTAAGTCTCCCAGTTTGCAGTCCACTGTCTTTTCTGTCACAAGATTACACTGAGTTAAATGTCAAATCAAAAGACTTAAACTTAGGAAGAGGCTTGAACACTGAAATTTTATTGACAAACTATTCACTGAAATTAAAATTTCTATAATGCTGGATGATTTTACCATATGAACAGCTATCAGGTTAAAAGGAATATTATTATTAATAACAGCATTAGTTATTATATTGAAGATTTTCTGACCACTTATTCTGTGCCAGATATTTTTCATAGATAACCTTATTTAACCTTCGTGACAGCTCCCTGCAAGAGGAGTCATTACCTTCCATATTTTACAGTAAAGGAAACAGAGACTGTCCCAGAGATACGCAGCTAGGAAGTAGCAGAGTAAAAATATGAACTCAAGCTCTCTGATGCCAAAGCCTGAGCTCTAAACCATTAGTTCCCTTGAACAATATGTAAAAGCATGCAGGTTCAGATCTCCTAGATTCCAGCTAAGTTGGGCTTGATACCGTGAAAGGCCTCAGAAAGATCAGCCTGGACTCAACTTTCCTCAGGCTATACAGGGAAAAGCTAATTTCACACGGAATATTCCAAACCTACATATTTATAGGATCCCATTACCTAAAGATCATTTCTTTAACATAACATCAACATTTTTTCAAAGCCTTATTTGCCAGGCACAATATTACGCACTGGTGACAGAAAGATAAATAAAATATGGTCTCTTTTCTATACGCATGCTAAATAAACATTTATATATTGCCTACTTTAGGCATTTGTGCCAGGTGTGAAAGAAGTCAAAGATATATGAGACAGGAACTCCAACAAACATCTTAAAAAAAATCCAGTCAGCTAAAACATTAACATATACAAAAATTTCAGTAATACTAACACAGCCACAAGTTTCCATATAATTAATCTCCATAAGTGAGACAGACAAAAAATACCACAAGTTCAGGGGATTTAGAGATCACTATGTGCTGGAGAAGCTTCAGGGAGAGGAAGGAACATAAACTGGACCTTCCCTTAAGGATATACAGAATCTGGAAAAAACAAAAGGAGGATGGAGGAAAAGAATTCCAAGAGAAGGAAAAATAATATGGCCAAAGGCACTGAGATAGGAATATATAAAACATGTTCAAGGGACATTAAGTAAACAATGTGAGTACACCAATGGTTGGTATGTGACAACAGGGTTGAAAAGGTAGGAAGAAGCAAAATTACAGGGAGAACTTTATGATGCACCCTTATAATAACATATTTCAAAGTCATTTTTATCATATACTATGCAAAAATGGGAAAAAATAAAATTCCTAAAAAGAATTAAATTCTTGTTTCTGCAATATATAATTTTGCTAATAAAAAAAGAGTTCAAAAAAGTTGCC